AAATTAAACAAATGGAACTACATCAAATTAAAAAGTTTCTGCTCAGCTAAAGATCCCAACCATCATCTAAATGAAAAGGGAACTGACTGTATTGGAGAACATATTTGCTAATGATATTTGGACAAGGGTTTAATCTTGAATATATGAGGTCTGTCCAGAAGGCATCCAGCCATGTAATATGAAAAATAGAGATATTTATTGAAGGAGATACAAGAAAAATTGTATATAGGACAGTGACCCCTTAATCCCCTTCAAAGTAGGCACCTTCGAACCTAATACAGTTTTTACAGTCACGATCAGCTAGCTGCCCTTTTATATTTTCTTGAATCTCATCAATGACCTGAAATCTCTTCCCTTTCAAAGGTGATTTTAGTTTGGGAAAAGCCAGTCATTGCAGTGTGCCATATTTGGGCTGTAGGGGGACTGAGCCACCTGGGTGATTTGATGTTTTGCCAAAAAACTCTATACCAGATGTGATATGCAAGTGGGCCAGTTGTGATGAAACTGCCAATCACTAGTTGCCCATAGCTGTAGCCTTCTGACTCATCTGAATAGTTTTCTCGCAGGAATGTTCAAGATTAATGCAAAATTTGATGCAGATTTGTTGTTCCACTCAGTCACTTTGAGTGTGACAGCCACACAGTACAGAAGCTAACTCAAAGGTGTCTCCCCCTCCCCCCCACTAGTACAGTGATGTCATCATTATTCACTCAAGCACATTCCAGGCCACTCTTCTTGACTGCCAGGTTACATCAATGTCATGCAAACTGTCCTCATTATATTAAAATGGCTAGACTTTTTCTGGACAGACCTCATTTTATATCATTTATTTGACTCAACACCAGGAAAACAAACAACCCAATTCAAAAAATGAGCAAAGGAGCTGAATGGATACTTCTCTAAGTAGGAAATAAAGATGGCCCATAGACATATGAAAAAATGTTCAACATCACTGGCCATCAAAGACACGGAAATTAAAATCACAGTGAGATTACCTCACACCTGTCAGAATGGCCATCAACAAACAACAAGTGCTGACAAGGATGTGGAGAAAAGGGAACCCCAGTGCACTGTTGATGGGAATGCAGAGTGGTGCAGCCACTGTGGAAAACAGCATGGAGTTTCCTTAAAAAAATAAAAATGAAACTATCTTATAACCCAGCAATTCCACTGCTGGGACTATACCCTAAGGATCCTGAAACACCAATTCAAAAGAAGCTATGCACCCCAATATTCATAGGAGTGCTATTGATAATAGCCAAATGTTGGGAACAGCCCAAGTGCTCATCACTAGATGACTGGATTAGGAAACTAGTACATTTATACAGTAGAAAGAAAAGAAATTCCTACCTTTTGCAACAGCATGAATGGAACTGGAGACTATTATGTCAAATAAGCTAGTAGAAGAAAGACAAATACCACATGACCTCACTTATAATTGGGATGTAATTAACAAAATAATCTAATGAGAAAAACAGAACCTGAGACATGGAAACGTGGAACAGACTGATGGCTGTAGGAGTGGAGTGGGGGAAATGGTGGAATGAAGGGGAAGTGATTAGTCAAAGAACATGTATGAATGACCCATGGACAAAGACAATGGAGAGGGGGTGGACTGTGGGAGAGAGGGGTGAGCTAGGGGGCAAAAGGGAAAACAATTGGGACAACTGTAATAGAATAAACAATAAAAACTGTAATATAAGCAGCCAAATTTGATCCAGTGTATAAAGACACCAATAATATAGGCTAATACAAGTGTGTTACAAGACCATTAGTTTTTGGTCTAGCCCTGAGGATCATAGCCTAAAAGGTCTAACCTTGTTTATCTGTGTGTCCTTGAGAGGTTTCTAGCTATCTTCTTGTCTTCACAGTCCCTTTATTTTTGAGGTCAGAATTTCTCTTTTTGATCTATTAACTGTTCTTTTTGTTTCTCCTGCCAAGGGTTGAGCTCATAAGGAACCTGAGCTGTCATTCATTTCATCGGCTTTCCTGTGTCTGGAAATAATGACAATTCTTTCACTATCCTACTCATCGTCTCTTGAATGGATATACTTGTGTCCATTCCTGTTAATGTGTCACCCATAAGTGAAAGTAGATATGTCTCAGGGAACTTGAAGGAGAGGTGTATGCTCATTTGTCCTCCTCTTTCTATTATCTTGAATACTGATACCATTACAGCTTAAGAGCACATTGGCTTCAGGGCTGCTTTGTCTCATTCATGGTTCACTCATTCTCTCTTGAAGTTAAGGTACCTAAATCTTTTCCCCTGTGTCCTGCTGAGATATCCTAAATACAAGACCAGACATTTATTTTTATTGTTTCATCTCATAGAGGTGGCTCATTACTGCAACTTAGCAATGTTAGTCCAATTTTAATTTTATCATCTGGTAAACTCGGCATTCTTAGTCATTGAAGAATTTGAACATGCGTTATATATTATTATTTACATTGCAGCTATAGTTTTTGGTTAGGAGCGGGTGATTATTAGACCTCCCTGGCATTGCATTAGAAATCTCTATAGGGTGATAGATTTCAGTCAGCTATTTACAGATTGTGAAAGTCAGCAGTTGCCCTTTTGCCAGCCTCATTTATATGATGCTTATAATGTCGGGGTGGGGGAGCTCTAACATCATACATGCCTCACCGGAGTCTAGACACTCTGCATTTCTGTGGTTACACTGCCAAAGACAGAAATTAGACCAGTGTAACCTAATTTTTCTTTGGTGTGCCCATTTTTAGTTCTCACAAATTGTCTTTTGGACAAAATCCTTTTAAGAATCTCACCTAAGATCTGTGTCTAGCTCTTTAGTTTCTAACATGAACAGAGTCTACTTTCTGCTTTCCAAAAACAGAAATGGCATTTTCCTGCTTCCAGTTCCTTGGTACCTCTTCCATTCCCTGTGATTCTCCAGGGAGCCCCCATATGATCTAGCAACCTATTTGCAAGTTTTCTCAGGTCCTGACAATGTGATCATTCAAGTGAGGCAAGTTGGGGTAATTGAGGGAAGCATGAGACCTAATGTTTCAGTCTCTCTGCTACACAAGTACTCAGTGCTTTTTTTGTTTGCTAGTGGCAACAAGTCATAATATCATCCTGTGACTCCAGTCTTTGCTTGAGTCTTGCAACCCTTTAAGTTGTTATGAGAACTACAAGAAAATGGACAGACAACCTAGTTAGGTTTTATAACTTGTCATTAATTGTGCTCTCCCTCTTCTGTCCAGCATTCATTGTACTATTTTGGGACTGTTCCAAAGATGAAGGATAGGGGATTGTCTCACCCTCATTCTTCATTGCATGAGTGTTAGTGATTACTTGTAATGCCTGCTAGTCTTTGAGAAAGCAGAGAATGAAAACATCACCCCAGCCTATGAAAATTTCTTTGGCTGCTGAGTAGTATTTTCTTTTACAAATGTATAAATTCTTCCCAACCTATTTTCATCAGCTTTAGTGTTGTTATATCGCATCACTTGCATCTTGCTATACTGTAGGTTAATCTGATTCATATTTTGCTGCCTCAGCTAGATGATGACTCTAATGGCCAGTGACCCTTCCTTATGCCTATATCCCCTTATTACCCTGCCGAACACATGAACAGTGTGCTACTCAGAAAATGCTCACCTAATTTCATCAATTGTGAACAAAGTTATCATGATAAATATGAAATTAAGTGTGGTACACTCAGAGTGATGGAATATAATTACAATAATATAATTCTGTATCTTTCTTTGGAAAGTAAGGCTCCTTCTCTTTGTGGTAAAGAATTAAGTACTTTGCCAATGACGTTTCTATATTTTTTTTTCCAAATTATCTTTGTTCACTGAATTTATGCTTCTTTTTCCAACATATTGGTTATTTCATGGTATTATACTCGATGTTTTCAAAATTTTTTTTTTGGCATTTTTTTCCACTGTTGCATAGTAACATTTTTGTTCCTTGCAACCATCTTCTTATTTTAAGGTGTCTAATTTTTCAATGACATAGAATACTTTCATATCTTTAAATGTCTTGCATACTAATCTAGGATCTTTATGTGTGGCTTTTTTTCTTCATAGACCTCATGTCTTTAATGAGCACTCATTAAATGCAGAAAGAGTTATTTTATCCAGTTGATGGTATTTTTAAGTATTTTACATGTCAGTAGGCATACAGCACATACTAAAAAATAGTTTGCCATAAAATCATCCCATTGTATTACATAAAGAATTAGTAAAGTGCATTTTTTTAATAAGTGAGGAAAGTGGGGCTCAGTGAGGTGGTAACTTGTCCAAGATCACCTAGGTTTTGATCCTAGTCCTGCTTCAAGTCTGAAGCTTCTCCTGCTCACACTTGAGGAAACTCGTCCTTGCAGCTTTGTGCCCACCTGAGCCTTGGGCACCAAGGAAATAGGAAATGGAGAATTCAACAGCTAGAGGAGGCTTGTGGACTCTTCACGAAGGGGGAAATACAGAAACTAATCAGACCCATTTCCTGTTTCTGCTTATTAATATGTTAAGGATAAAGTGACATTCTGCATAAACCTCTTCTGTAATCGTTAAAGCATTCGAACATTTGTAGATGCTTCCTTGTATGTATACTTTTTTGAAAACTGGCCCTTATAGCATTATAGAGTGTTTATTTTTTTTTGTTTCAGTTATAAGATAATCATATTTGCTTATTGGCTTCCAATTATAAGATTCATCAATTTAATAAGCTTTTTCCTTAGTAAATTTTTAAGAGCCCTCCTCCCCAATACTTCATGCCATTTTTGACTATGATGTTTCAATATTTTCTTAGAATTTATTATCATTACTTTTAGTTTTATTTTTTAGTATTTGGTAGTACCTGCTATACTTTCAACTCTGGAAGTTGCCTTCTAAAAATTGAATAGCTGTCAGGAGTTTGGATCATTGTGTGTAGAAGTGTGTAGTACTTCCTAGGAACTGTCTGCAAATCCTCAGCCAGCCTGTTTTTATAGAGGAGCCCTTGGGAAAGTGTTAACCCTTTGCCTGCTTGATTGCAGGAGGAATGCCAGCTCCTGAGCAGGCCTCATTGGTGGAGGAGGGGCAACCACAGATCCGCCAGGAAGCTGCCTCCACTGGCCCAGGCATGGAACCCGAGACCACAGCCACCACTATTCTAGCTTCTGTGAAGGAGCAGGTACATCCTCTTATTGGAATTTGCAATTAATTATTTCTTCAGTGCCTTTAAAAATTAATCTTTGGATGTGTTTTAAATTTGTTTAACATCCTTGACGCCTTCACGTTTTCTAATTATAAGGTGTTTACATCCCTGAGTACATTGGGATGACTGGCATGTAGAGCCGCTCCAGGTGCCAGTCAGAATCGGAACATGCAGGATACTTGTACGTCTGCAAGTAAGGACAATATTGATGGTGATCGGTGTCTCTGTCTCTCCCCCATTGCAGAGTGTGTGCATGCACGCAAAGCTTCGTAAAGCATAGTTCACATTGCTGACTTTTCTACCAGGAGGTCTATAATAGCCTTAGATGTGTTGAGTGTTAACATAGGTATTATATAGGGTTGTCTCTGTTGTTTTTGGTTAAAGGCTATATTTGTTGTGTTTGTCTGAATCAAAGTATATTCATTTTGTGAACTAGTGTTCTAATACTTGTCAAACTGTGCCAGTTTGCTTCAGTGTCATGTTTATGTTGATTTTCTTAAAGCCCTTAATACTATTTGTCCTTCAAACCCAAGTAGCCTTCCAAATTAGATCTTATCTGTTGTGCTTAGAGAATTGGAATTCCTAAATTTAGTTTCTTAAGGTTTAAAAGTTTAATAAAATAAAATTAAATTTAAAGCTACAGGGATAGATTTCTTTTCTGCCCTTCTTTCCAAAACAAAACACAAATATTTGTCCTCTGTGAGGGTTACTGGGTTGGATATAATCTAATTATTAATTTTAAAAATTTTATTAAAACCCTGGGTCCTTTTTTCTCAAGAGGTATAAACTTAGATGTATATTTGCTGGAATATTCTTTAAAAATCAATATCAGTAGTTTCAGTGACTAACGATGACAAAGAGTAAAGGAATATTTAATACCTCATTATTTCACTGCTTGGTGTACCTTAGAGCTAGGTATGTGGTATGAAAGAATTAGAATTGTGACATACTGTATTTTTTGGACTATAAGATGCACCACAACTCCCCCAAACCCCCTGAAATTTGGGAGGAATAATGGTTGTTAATGCTGCTGTTGAGTTCTGTTTACATTTACATTGGTGAAATATTATGTTATTTATGTTATTAAATATTTTACATTTTTTTGCTTCAATTCTTTTTTTCCTATTTTCCTCATTTAAAACCTAGGTGTGTCTTATGGTCTGAAAAATATGGTATATCTGACATTAGAGCTGTGTTTTCAAGAAAAAATGATTTCACAACATATTATAATATCAAGATGTCAAAATATTTTCCATTCCTCCCTGAGATTATTTTTTAAACATCCCACAATTTAAGAATTTGAGAAGAGAACAAGAAAATTATAGTCAGTACTATTTTTATTTTTTACCAAACCATAGATTATTTAAGCTTCTCTCACTTTTAGGGAAGAAAAGGGGACTCTTTTTTTATTTACAGTACTCCTTCATTGTCAAGATTTGACCTGAGGAGCTATAAAATGAAAAGGCTGTGATTTATTGGGGACTCATAAAGTATACTGCATCTTTGTGAAACATGATGGTAAATTTATCAAAAGGCCCAGAACTGACTTAAAACTAGAAACTGTTTTCATAAACATAGCAACAGGAACTTTTGTATTTGTATCTTGAAACCAGATACCCTGCATGTTGAAGAAAATTGGAAACCGATCATGATTTTGTCACTGGAATGCCTTGATGGCTTCAGATGACTTGAAAATTTTATCTTTTGTCAGTAAATAGTGTTCTGAATAGATATTGTCTGGGAGATGGCAAGAAAGGTTTCAGTTTCTCAAGATAGCCCCAAAAACCCACTGATATTTGTCATTTATTAGAAGAATTATACCTCCCAGATTATTGTTTTAGTAAGAGTATATATTCTACTCTTTGCTTCTATTCCTGTTCTAAGAATTTAAGTTCATTAATATACATTTATAGTTTTCATTTTCAATTTCTTTTAAAGTTGCTTGTTCAGTGCTCAGTCAGTATTTCAGTTATTTGGCCTAAGATGTTGTATCTATCTCTTATTCCAAGATACTCACCTGACTTGAAATAGCTAACTCTAGCTTGCATAGGATTTTTGTGGCACCAGGTAAGATGCTCTAATTTCCATATAATGACATAAAAATTTCTTAGGACTTTCCTAAAATATGTCACTCCCTATCATCTGCCCAATGTGACAGAGCACAGAAAAGTTAGAAAGTTAGGAATAAGAAAATCAGTTAAAATTTATCTTGTATATTTGACTTTAAAATATTAGAATGTGACTTTCTTAGTTATGTTAGACTCAAATGGAATAGTTAATATTATATTGTGTCCTTGATCATGTTTTGTGTCAGCAGTCATATTCTTGGATGGGATGCATGATTATTTCAAAATATGCCATTCTGCTGTGCAATGCTCATAGCCATGGATTGATGGTATCAGTTCCACTGATCTCAAAGAACAGACCTTGTTTGATGGCAGCTGTATCTCAAGAAGGATGTTTCATTACACTACAGAGGGAAGAGAGCACTTTCAGTGCAACTGGGTAGATGGTCTAGGTTCCAGTCCTATCTTCACTACTTACTGTGTGATATTGGGAAGATTTCTTTAACTTCTCTATGCTTTAGTTTCTCTTCTGTGAAATAAAGATAATAATAGTTATTGAGGGCATTAAATTAACTCATGTAAAATACAGCAGTGCTCATAGTAAGGACTAATATTACTATTGTCATCGTCACTTGTACATAAGAAGAAAAAGCTCTCAGGGAGAACTGGTGGTTCTATTTTTAAATATATATAGGGGTTCAGTGAGCCTTCTTAGACATTGATTTGAAGGCAAGACAACATTCAGAATATTGAGCCATATTTATGCTGTGACAGTATTTCACTTTTGTGTGGAATTAAACTCTCAAAACTTCACCATGTTGGTCTCACAGAACAGTTTTAGTATATATTATAAGAAATAGAGCACGTGAAAATCATTTTTTTAGCATGCTGATTTTGTGCAACCCCAAACATAACATCAAGGCACTTGGCTAAAGAACTGGAAAGTGGTATATCTCAGCACACATCTAACTTTTGAGAGGAAAGGTGTAGATTCTTGAATAAAGCACATTCAAGCCACTAAAGTAGTTGGTACATGTTCTCTCTAGGCAATTTATGGAAAGAAGTTGGGAAGGAAATGACAGGCAGCCAGAGCAGCTGTTAACAAATCAGTAGTCTGTTACTATCTGAAATTGGTTTTAGGGTGTCATAAAGCAATTGAATTTTCCTCTGCAGGACCACTCCTTTTTAGGGTCTAGAAGCCAGAAGCTGTTTCTTATTCTTTGACAAAATGATGATATTCATATTCCCTCTCTTTTGTAATGTGATAACCTTTCATATTTACATCAGTCATATAGGTTTGTGCCTATGCAATTATTTTGTTTTGAAGTCCTTGCTCTTGTGCATATAGAAAGGAAGAACCTACTTCTGTTCAAGTGCTACCTCTTTCCTGAAGCCATGGTCACTCGGCCTGAAGTCAGCTCCTGACCTCCCTTAGGACTTTAAACGACTGCTGTGGCACTTACTGCACACTTCTTTGGATTATATAATCAGCTACCTAAGGACAGAGCCATGTTTTATACATTTGTTTCACACACATTACCACCTTTAATATATTAGGTGGTAACCTTTAATATATTAGGCCTACACTTAAATGATTATTCAAGAAAGGAATGGATGAATAATACTGGCTATCAGAATAATTTGTCTCCAATTGGTCGTTTTTTGAAGATCGTGAGACCTATGGCCACATTGATAGAAATGTTACTAAGCAAGAGAATCTCAGCACCTAGAAAACTAATTACTCAGCTGTATATTCTTTTCCTGAAGACAATTTGACTTGCATATATCCATACTGATCTAGGAATCAAATGCAGTTTCCACATGAAGCAAACTAAATTTCATTTTATATTGATGTCAAATAATGACATAAGGTTAGAAAAGTCATGTCCCATCTGTCTTAACTTAGCTGAAAATTAAGTGTAGGGAATAAAAGGATATGGTTATCTTGGTGATATCAAAGAATTATCTACCAATATCATCTATACCAGGTAATATAAAAAACCATTGAAGAAATGTCTCTCAGTTAAGGATCATGCTTTGAGAGTAGTAGAAAATCAGCCTATGGGAATAACAAAGAAATGTGATCCTTGGACTTAAACCTGAAATTACAGGAAATGTCAAGTGAACTTTAAGCTACCAGTTGGCTATAATCAGCATCATCATTTGGCAGGTTCTACTGTTTAGTTCAGCTCCTAATAAAGAGTCCAGGAATTCAAGATGAATACAGATGTTGGACACAAGGAAATTTTTTTTTGGTATTCTGATCATTTTCAAATATCTGGGAAATTTGAGAATGTTCTAATGCCTAGCTTAATATCTTATACAAGCTAAAGAAAGATAAAGCAAGATAAAGAAATGTGGCCAAATGTGATGCCTTCAAAGCTCCCTTTCTCCTCTTACGAAAACCTAGGCTAAAATGCTATATTCATTCTTGCAATGGACAGGTTGTCTTTGGATGCAGAGGCACTGGAATTTGGTAAGACACCGTCTGCTCATCCAGAACTTTGCCCCCATTTCTACACATTCACTTCACAGGCACAAAGGAAGTAGTAAACCAAGGGCCATGTGCAGGCTATTATTATCATTTGGGAGAGTAAACTTTACTTTTACAATTGACAGGATAGGATCCTGGATTGTAGAAACACTCTTTTTTAAAAGACCATGTGGCTAATCGTGAATAAGGTTAACAAGTATATTTCCTAGCTCTTTATAATATATAAGTTGATTTACATTCTGTAAAATCACACATGTACTACTTATGATACTCTTTTATCTTTTGTAATGATGTTGCTTGAATGTTTGAGATCTCTATTTGAACTTAGCCATATTCAGCCACTCTAATTTCCATTCCACTGTTCTCCCACAAATCATACTTCTTACTTTTGGTTTATGATTTTAGAAGTTGGAATC